TATTCATTAAAAGCATAATATTTAGCTAACATTTCTTAGGCCAACATTTAAATCAAAGGCTATTTCCTATTATAAATACAATCATACAATAAATACCCACCGATTCTCTCATACAAAAGTCATTATCTTTATTGTTATTTATCTCAAAGTCTATTAATTTTATGAAAGATTTAAATTTTGTGATTTTATTAACAATAATAGCGATGAAAGTCATCAATAAAATAAGAAAACTCAATGAAATATTTTTTAATATTAATTTTGAAGTGAAAAATATCCCAAAAATAATAGTTTGCTATAAAAAAATACAACATTTCTTAAAACTAAATTAAAACTTATAAAAAATAAATACATTAACCGAGATATAAACATAACAATTAAAGATTTGTTATAGCATTCAAACACATCGTCAGATTATTTGTAACAAAACTGAGAAAATACTTTTTCCAAGAATAATAACAATATTACTAAAACTTTGAAAACTTTTTTTACATAAAAAAAATACAAAACAAAAAAACCTAATTCTTTTGATAGATGAGAGACAGTGGCTATAAAATCCTTGGACTACATCTAAACCAATACATTATTATTATATTTGTATTACAAATGTTTGTTATAAAAAATAGTTTTGCAAATGTTTTTTGAGGGAAAAATCGGTTGTTTGTACTCTCAATGAAAAAATATAATATTTTATTCAATCAATTATAAAAAAAAACACTAATTTTAATATAAAATAAATATTAATGACTTTCGATGTCTCAATAAAAAGTGCATTGAAATACACGTTAACATTGTATTTAATATCTAATGAACAATATTTGTACACTATTCACAACAAATACAGTGCTAACAATGTATTTCTCATTATAATATCTACAAAGATTAATTTATTCACTAATAAACAGCATTTAATTAATATCAATGTTTTGTTTTGTTATAACTATTATAATAAACACCACGTATAGTGAATAATATCGCATTGAATGGACGGGTAGTTGTGTTTGGGGGCCGGGGGTTAAGCCGTGATTGCAATATAACATACAAAACACGTTTACAATCACACGAAGTGTTTGGGCGAAGAATAAGGGAAAACAAAAACATAATTATCTTATTGTTTAAACATAAGGAGTAGTTATTATACATTAAAAGCTATTTGCAGGACATTTGGTCACAAAACCCATACAAGTAATTATCATATGAAACAAAACATACAGTATGTATAAATGATATTAATATCAATGGATTTGTATGGAAAAGGGAAGGGAAGGTTCCCATGGAAAGTGCCCGGAGCATTTTATCATACACAAAATAATATTATTGTTATTTTCTAATATTAAAGCATAAATTTGCACTTAATATTCACCGAAATTCACATTAAAATAGACACAGAAATACTAATCAGCAATTGATTCACACATATATTAATCGTTTGTAACGATAATTATAAATCAGATAACATTTTGTGAAAATAACAACAAAATAATTACCATTTTTTGCAATTAATAACTCAAAGCGATTGTTGTCCTCAAAGACAACCCATTTAGTCGTTTACTAAAAACCATTAATAATATCTTGATATAAATTACAGACAAATTAGGAAAGAATTTATCGCTAAATATATCAAAAATTAAAAATAGAATTTAAAGATTTACATTAGTAAATTAAATTACAAATTATTGATTTTAAACAAAAAAATATTTTTATAAAAACTCTGATTAAATGAGCCAGGATGATAAAAAATAGCCATAATTATAGCCAAGTTACCCATGATCATTGTTAACACATTACAGCATACTAAATATATCAATACTTGGTTATATTTCCCAGAGTTTAAACCTGTTATAAATTGCTGTTTAAAACCCCACTTATTGATCAATATTTCAAACATATTTTGAAATCGCCAATCAATTGATTTAATTACTAAACGTTAATCTATATTAATATTAGAGTTTATTAATTAATTCAATTGTTTTCCTTGAGTTTATTTAACCAGTCGATTGTGTAAACTTGAAAATACATTATTTTACAGTTAGTGTACAAATGTATTAACTGTTTATGCAGTGTATATATTAATAATCTGTACATTATATCTGGTTTTTGGCCGACAATTAGGGCTCTTAATTGTGTTGCAAGTCTTAACACCCGCCCTAACCAGTGCTCGTTATACAGGCTCTACCATAAGCCATGAGTGGCCGCACGGGTGTGACCTCCAAAAAATTCAAAGTCAATAATGTAAGCAATTTTCACTTACCTTTCATTTTACATATTATTTAATACATTTAAAAATAAACAATAATTTGTGTGTTTTTTAATTCACTGAGTGTTGCGCTTAACCATAGGGTGAATCGCATCTCAAGGATCGCCACCAAATCCACTGGTCTTTCATCGCCTCAAACGGCTTAAAGACAGTGTGTTTTGTTTGTATGCCTTTCAAGGGCTTAATGTTTAGTATATAAAGCGAGAGATTTTTGTTTTTTAAATCATCCAAAACTTCAAACAAAGTTTCTTAAAGTTTGTGCTAAAACTCAAACCCAAAACTCACTCAAAATGAATACTTTGGTAAACGATATAATATAATGATTATACTAATTGTCTGAACAAGTTTGACCATGTATGTTTTTTATGTTTGCCGCCACCAATAGATCGCTTTGTCCGCTCTCTTGGGTCTGGCCGTTGCCGTCCCATCCCATGATGTCGTGTCATACGGCGCGCCGGCAGTGCTCGCCGGACACGGTTTGGGCTACGGTCTGGGTCTCGGACACGGATACGCCGGACACGGTTTGGCCACCGCTTACTCCAGCCGTATTGCTCACGGATACGGTCACGGATACGCCGCCCCCGCCGTCCTCTCGCACGGTCTGACCGGACCCGCCGTCCTGTCCGCCCACGCTTATGGCGCCCCCGCAGTCCATGCCGGCTATGGTTATGGTCATGGCATCGGTGCCCCCATCATCCGCTCGGCCTATGCCGGTCACGGATACGCCGCCCCCGCCATCTATGGTGCCGGAGTAGTCAGATCTTATGGCGCGCCAGTGATCAGCGGTTACGGTCACGGACTCGCCGCCCCCCTCGCCGTCGGTAAGGTCTGGTAAATACTGGTCACCCGATCGCCGATGTCTTTCATTTCTATCAAACACACAGTCTTTCTATAAATTTTTAATATAAATCTTATATTAAACCAAAAAAATTATATTTTGTTTTTCATCAAAATTTTGTGATCATTTGAATCATTTGAAAACCAATTGATTTTTTCTCTTCTCAATAAATAATTCTTTAAAAACCAATCATTTTTTGTTTGAAATTTTATTTATTTTATTTTTTTGGGTAATATTTTTGGCAATAATTTACTGATTCTTGAAGTGTGTATACATTTTGCCATTTATTATTAGTTTTAATTGGTATTTAATAAATATTTTTGAATTTAAAATAAATATTTTGTGAATTTAAGATTAGAAATAAGATTTATTTATAAATTCATTTATTTTTCTTATAAAAAACATTTCACAAAACATAAATACGATTTACTTATTAAATAATAATAGTATTTGTGATTAAATATAACAAATATCATCAAATGAATATAAAATAATAAAAACATGATTTATATTTATGTATTTAAATAATTATAACTCTCCTAAACGCTAACACAGGATTAAACTGAATATAAAGTTAATACAAAATTAAATAATTATTTTTATATCTATTATTGAATTATGCTTTATGTATATATATATAAAGATAGTAATGAAACTCTAATCAACAATAGATTGAAAGGCAATTAAAACAGTAATACATAAAAATAATTTATAAAATCAGATTATCGGTGGGTTTTGAGAGAGAAAGTGAAATAATATTAAATGTGATATAAGTTGTGATGACAGAGAAATGGTTACTAAATCTACTAATAATTACTATTAAATCTAATTATGTTTTTACTAATAATGTGATGTATTTTTTATGGGATGAGAATGTATTCAATTTTTTGCTTCTCGAAACCGCAGTTATCATTATCTCTGAGGGCTTTCATTGACTTTCGTATGTTATAAATGCCATAAATTATCATAAATAGTGAGAACACAATCGACACGATTGGGTCCAAAATCCACAGATTGTTATCGTATTCAATGATCATTGTTGTGATCACTATTAGCAGAGCAAACACCGCCGATATCCACGAATTTATAGCTAGATTTTAAACAAATAAAAATTAGTTTTTAAATTAATACATAAAATAAAAATTAAGAAATTATTTAACTAAAAATAATTAATTTCCACAATTAAAACGCTGACAATAATATCAAAAACAGGATATACTGTAATTAACAATCAATATCTAATAACGATAACTATCTTATCTTAATACTAAACAATCAGACCATATACTGGTTTTCCCTATACTAAGACTAAACCAAACTGCAATACTGTAACCATGTTTAAATTTAGAAATTTAGAATTGGTAAAACTTACATTCTAAATACATGGACTTGGAGTTCATGTGCCTGTATAGAATATATTTGCCCAGGGCCAATAGACCACAGATCACAAACGCCACTGATGTCACGTGGAGTATACCCGGCAGACCATTCATCTGGTGATCCAAATCATGGGATTAAAGAGAAAAACATAGATTAAAATCAAGTCTTTGAATAGGAATTACTGACTAAAAACATCAAACAATTCAATCGGCAGACAATGACTTACAGATTATTATTATTATTATTTAAAAAAGTAGTTTTGTTTCAAAAAACAAAAAAAGAGAAAAAAAAAGAAATATTAGGGAAAATCAAAATTTTAATTAAATATAATGTTACCATATTATATTCATTTATTAATAATATAGAAAAATAAACAAAATCAAATTAAAGCAAATAAAACACGACATGATATAAATGGTAACTTACATCGGGCTCCAAATCGATGACCTGATCGGCTGAGACGAGATCCCAACCGGATTTGCCGACAACTATGAGACCGGAGAGTATGAACATAACGCCGAGACCACAACAGGCGAGCAGTTCCTTGCGTTGAGTGGCCGGCGATTGATTGCCACTCAAACCGAACCTCTGGTTATTATAGCTGTCGATGTCATAGTTAGGGTCGCCGTAACCCTTGGCTCCGGTCTCGCCGTAGAAACGCCAGACCAGTATCGCCGACGAGAACACGTCGAGAGCGCAGTCGACAGCGAAGGCACAGTTGGAGGAAGAGGTGCCCGTCAGCAGTGAGGCCACCGCCAGCACAAAGTCAATGGCAATGGAGGCCAACGATATGTGAAGAGCAAAATTATAAGCCATTATAATCTGCATTCTCGGAGACTTTGGTTTGTGAGTCGGTTTTTAGCGACCGTTTCTTATTATTAATAAATAATAAAATAAAATTTGTTGAGATTTACGTGTATCTCGTTTTTTGAGTAATTAATAACTCGATTGCTTTGTTTAATCGGGGTTATAATATTACTGGTTTTTATTAATTATTATTAACTAAAATTATGATCAATTTACTTTTTGCGATTTTTCAGACTCTCCACACGTAATACTTTAGTAGCGCTTCTAATGATCTTTGTATGCATTAAATCATTTGAATGCATAGACTTTTAATCGCACAAAAAATTATGTTATTAATAGTAATTGAAATTTTAGTCAATAATACAATTTCTCAATATTTTAATAGTTGTGATGTTCACTGTTTAGCAGTCAATGTGTTTGTGTGAAACGATGGGTGAATTGCAGTACACTTTATATAAGATAAGAAAAGTGCGGATAAATTGTTGACAATTTTTCAATACATGAGAGCATCGGAAAAGTTTTTGCCTTAATTTTACAGATAATCTGTTCATTTAGTTTTCGTACAATAATAAGTCACTTATATTAATAACTATTAGGCGTTAATGCAAATACTATACCGTTTAATAATCAGCTATTTGTTTGCACACAGTTTAGGCTCTCTCTCTCTCTCTCTCTCTCTCTCTCTCTC